GAGGCGTTCTGGCTTCCTGTGGGCCTCGGAGCCCGCCGCGGAGGCCTCCAGAGGCCTCCAGGACCTCCAGAGGCCTCCGTGGACTTGCGCTGGGGGCAACCGCCTGGGCGATGGGTAACGAGGGGGGTCACCGATCCCGCCCGCCGCTTCGCGTCCAGGTCCACTGTGGCTCAGGCCCTCTCTGATAGAGAGTTGGCTTCCAATCTACCAGCGGCGTGTGCGATCACCGCATACCTCACGCTGGGGCAGAATGGGCGCCCTTGATCAGAACAGCATCGAAGGATTGCAAAAACAAAAAAACCCTGGTTTTTTTGCAATCCTTGGTTTTTTTTTGCAATCCTTCGTTTTTTTGTGTTTTTTTTTTTGTTTTTTTTTTTGCAATCCTTCGAACATGTTGGTAGAGCAGATCGTGAGGGGCAACGCGCGCGCTGCCGACGCGATGCTGGACGCGGCCTCGGTGCAGGGCGCCAAGAACACGCCCAACAAGATGTTCTACCACAGGCTGATCCTCCTCCTCCTCCTCCTCCTCCTCCTCCTCCTCCTCCTCCTCCTCCTCCTCCTCCTCCTCCCCCCCTCCCCCTCCTCCTCCTCCTCCTCCTCCTCCACCACAGGCCCCTTCGGCTCGCAGACGCTCCCTACGGACAGTGGGCCTCCCCCCCTCGCCTCGATCTCCTCGGACTGCTCGACCAAGGTGTCGACCGCCTTCAACTGGGACCCCCTGGAGCCTCCTGAGCCACTATGGGTCCAAAAAAAAAAAAAAAAAGATGTTCTACCACAGGCTGATCCACTGCTGCGCCAAGGCGGGCAGCCCCGACGGCGCTTGCTGGCTGCTCGAACGAATGGTTCGCTCGCGCATGCAACCCAACGCGGTCACCTTCAACAGCGTCATGGACTTAGATGTTCGTAAAGACGCTTGGGGTTGATTGGGAGGTTCGTCTTCAAGATCGACGCGTCGTTTCCATTTTTGAAGCTGTCGTCTTGCCGCTTTGTCGGTGTTTGAGCCTGCATTTTCAGTTTCGAGCTTCGTTTTTGATTGTCAGGCCATGACCCGGCCTTTGCCTTGCCATGCCCTTGTTTAGCAATGCTCGCCGCGTTTTCCATACGTTTTTTCAGCTACTTAAATACCCCCCACAACCACCGATCATAGTTGAGCCGTTCCGACAATGCTTTCCTCTCCATCAGCGCATTCCGTCTTATCGCCGTTGTCGCCTCGCGCACGAAACGGGTTTGTTCCCGGTCTTTGGCTCTCGCTTCGTGTCCCTTCTGGTCGGCCGCAACCAGAAATTCTGAGGTCACTGAACCATGATGGCCCCAGTTCGGTTCGGTTCGGTCCGGTTCGGCGCGCATTCGTGTCGGTTCGGCCGGTCCGGTTCAGATCGACGTCCGGTTCGGTCCATCCGGTCGGGCTGTAGGCCAGTTCGGTTCGGCCGGTCGGGTTCGGCCGCTCGGCCGGTTCCGTCCAGTTCGGCGGGTTCAGTTCGGGCCCCTTCCAGGCCCCCTCGGGGCCCCCCGTGGGGCTCCCTCCGGGCCCCCTCCGGCCCCCCTCGGGCCCCCCTCTGCATGGGCCCCCTCCGGGCCCCCTCAGGGCCGTCTCGATCGGGGCCCCCGGGCCCCCTCCGGGCCCCCTCCGGGCTCCCTCCGGGCCCTGCAGGCCCCTGGGCCCCTTCTGGGCCCCATCCTCCCTCCTTCCCGCTCTCCCTCCCTCCCCTCCCCCATCCCCTTCTCCTCCTCCTCCTCCTCCTCCTCCTCCTCCTCCTCCTCCTCCTCCTTCTCATCCTCCTCCTTCTCCTCCTCCTCCTCCTCATTCTCCTCCTCCTCGCCCTCCTCCTCCATCGCCCCTCCTCCTCCTCCCCTCCTCCTCCTCCTCCTCCTCCTCCTCCTCCTCCTCCTCCTCCTCCTCCTCCTCCTCCTCCTCCTCCTCCTCCTCCTCCTCCTCCCATGGGACCCCGAGAGGATCCGGAGGGGGCCTCGAGGGGGCCCGAGGGGGCCACGAAATGCAATGAGGCGGGGAGCACGAGGCGGGGGACACGAGGGGTGCTTGACTCTCTTGCGAGACCCGCCGGCGGGGTCGCGTCCGGTTTGGCCGGTTCGGTCCGACGGGCCGGTTCGGCCCGGCGGGTTCGGTTCGTCGGTCCGGTTCGGTCTGGTTATGCTTGTTCGGGTCTAGGGCCGGTTCGGTTCGAGGACCGGTTCTCGGTCTTCGGTCCGGTTCGGGGCCATCGTGCTGAACGCTTGAGGCTAGCTGGTTTGATTCCCCATCGTTTTTTCCAAGACGAGCTGAGGTCATTGACGCCTGTGCGAAGGCAGCGGACCCGCAGCGCGCGGCCTTCTGGTTCGACCAGATGCTTGCCAACAACGTCCAGCCCAGCGCCATCACGTACAACACCGTGATCAACTCCTGCGCACGGGCCCGCGACACGGCCAGCGCGGAGGCGTGGATGCGAAGGATGATCGACGACGGCGTCGAGCCTGGCCTCCTGTCTTTCGGTACCCTGATCGACGTGTTCGCGAAGGCTGGCAAGCTGACCAGGGCGGAGGAGTGGTTTGATGAGATGTTGAAGTTCGGCGTGCGCCCTGATGCGGTAACCTTCAATGCTCTCATCAACGCATGCGCGAAAGTGTCGGACCCGACCAGGGCAGAGCATTGGCTCTTCCAGATGGAGGAGGCTGGCCTGAGGCCCGACGAAAAGTCTTACAACAGCGTCATCAATGCATGCGCCAAGCTGGGTCTCTATGAGCAAGCGGAGCATTGGTTCGGTGAGATGGTCAGAGCGGGCATCAGGATCGACACAATCGGATTTGCATCTGTCATGCATGCATGTGCCAAGGTTGGTGACGTTGCCAGGGCGGAGCACTGGTTCGATGAGATACTGCGCTACAAGCTCGTCCCGAACCTGGTGTGCTACAACACCATGCTGCACGCGTGTGCTCAGAAGGGTGACTTCGCTGCGTCTGAGGTGTGGTTCCGCAGATTGCTTGCATCCGTGGGCCTGCAGCCCAACAAGATCTCGTTCAACAGCATCCTCAGCGCCGCCGCGAAGCAGGGCAACGTGCCGCAGGTGAAGTACTGGCTGGACAGGATGGCCAACACCTTAGGCTTAAATCGGGCCTGTCCCTCTATAGGAGGAATATTCAAAAATAACCAAAACATAGTCTTGGAACGATTTGTTGACCATTATTGAGTATTGTTTGCACATGTGTTGTGTATTTTTCACTATTCGCCCAAAATCCCCCTGTAGGGGGACAGGCCCGACCTAACCGTCTCGGGCTGGACGAAAGGGGGGGAATAGGGAAAGGGGGGATTACGAACTCTGCTGCATGCAGCTGGTCTCAGCCCCACCGAGGGGCCCATTCCTCGATACATGGCCGCCTCCCGGCGCCGGGAGGCGCCGGGGGAAATCAGTTGCGTGAGCTGATTCTCACCCCCCCCCCTTTGCTATCCCCCCCTTCCGCCCGGCCCGACCGTAGACGAGGAAACAGCAACGCAGTTTTCAAGATCGGCGTCTTCGTTCCGTTTTGGGCGCCGTGTCTGCTGCGTCTGCATGTGCGGGATCGGCCCGTGGCCTTCTCTGCTTGTGACAGCTTGTGTCTGTCCAATTTCGGCGCGTCTCTTCAGGGGGGGAAAGACCTGCAGACACAATTGTTCGTCGATTCCTAGAAAATGTAGGAAAGTATGGGAAGAAGGGGGGAAGACGAAAACACCGAAAATAGAGGAACATGTGGGGATTCCGGTTATTTGTGTCTACTTATTTGTGTGTCCCAGGGCCACTTCATTTCTGCTTTGACGTTTGTAGGTGTCACAATGCCGCCTGCCTGGCGTCCACATTCCAGGGTGTCGGTGTTTGAAAACGTTTTGGGCGAGTCAACAGCGAAACGTGGAACACGGAACGTGGACCGCCTCCAGCGCTTTTCAGAACAGCTCAGGTCCTCTCCGGGATACACCCCGACAGCGTGACCTCCTGCACCCTGGCCCGCGCCTTCTCCCCGACGGACCTGGATGGCAACTCCAGGGCCTGGGCCCAGATCCTGGCCTGCAGCACGATCATCGAGGCATACAACAAGGCTGGGAATCCCAGCGGCGCCACGTACTGGGCCGCCCAGCGCACCAAGGCTCGCGACGACCGAAGCGGGTACGGTGGGGGGGGTTGGTTAAGGAATGCTCCCAGGAGGCTTCAGACCCCAGAGGATTCCTTGCCCACTATGGGCGGCGGTGGTATCAATGGCCGATCCGCGATTGGAGTTCCACTGGCTCCCAGACCCTGGATTCCTTATCTAAGGGTTCCTTATCCAATGCCCAGACCGTGCGGACAAAAACTGGGCACGGAGGACCGACGGCGGTTCCCGTCCAGGGTGCGCAGGGCTCGCTGCCGGCACCGCCGCGGACGTCGCCCCCATTTGAGGTCGACGGCCACCTGGCCAGCAGCGGCCGCAGTCGGTGTCGGACAGCAAGCATCTCTTGCTGGGCCTCGTGCCCAGTTCCGTACCCATTGTTCGTTTCTATTTCTTCGAGAGTTCTTTGTTTTTTTTTTGGGGGGGGGGGGGGCAAGATCCTGTCATTGCTAATTCTTATGTCCGGGGCCTCTTCCTGGCCACTAGGGGGCCAGGAAGTATCAGAAGCGGGCACAATTCGAAACGAGCACGCTCAGAAATGCACGACGTGTACCCATGTCGGTCGTCCAGTAAGGCGCGCAACAGGGGCAGCACCCCGCCGCCGCCACGCGAGGACCTGGCGCCGAGGGCTGCCCACCCGCTCCCCGGAGCCAGGGAGGCACCGCAGTGGCTGCCCTGCCCGCGCGCGGACGGCCGCTCCCAGGCGCCTCCGCAGCCCCCCCCGGCGCCGCCGGCCAGCTGGCTCAAGAAGCCGGCGCAGCAGGTCTGGGCGCTGTAGCCGAGGGAGGGCGCGGCTGCCCAGCAGCAGCCGGAGCCTGGCTCTCCGGCCCAGCCTCGCGCCGGCAGTCTCGCCGGCGTGTTTTGTTCGTGGTCTCGCGGCGCTCTGTGCTGACCCGAGGAGGTAGTGGACTGGCCCTCGACTGAGCGCTTCTTTCGAGCTGCCGAGCGGCGGCCCTGACTGATCGAGTGATCCACGAGCCTTCATGATGTTGCAAATGTGTGTTCGGTGGAGACAGCCCGTGATTGCGTCCCCTGCAGTTTGTGACACATTTTCCAGTGCTCCACGTCACCTTGACGGTTGACGATACAGTTTTCATTGAACGTTCTGCATTTATTGTGATGCCATGCGGCCCCCTTGCAAGTGTGTGGCGGCCTGCCTGAACCATCGTAGGTGGTGTAAGCCACGTGGAGGGAGGAGCATGGGCATGGAGGAGCAGTGTTGCAGGAGCAAATCCAGCTGTCTGTGACAAGTTGAGCCGCCGTGTCAGCGCAGCATTCTGGGTGGCGACTGTTCGAGGGTTGGATGGCTATGATGAGGATGGTGATGCTGCTGCTCATGACGTTGATGCTCATGTTGCAGGTGATAATGCTGACGCTAATGATGAGGGTGACCAGAATGCGGATGATGATAACAATGACGGCGGCCGTGGTGATGCTGACGATAATGGTGAATATGCAGATGTTGATGTTGATGTTGACGCTGCTATTGATACTGATGTTGATGCTGATGCTGATTATGATCATGCAAATCATGCTGTTCTGATTACCATGCTGATGATGGTGACACGGATGATGATGCTGATGCTGTTGCTGATGATGATGATGATGATGATGATGATGAGGAGGATGCTGATTATCGTGATGATAGTGATGCAACAGGCGATAATGAGTATTATGATGTTGCTGACACTGTTGATGCTGGTGATATGATGATGGGCATGCTGGTGAGTATGATGCTGGTGATGCTGATTATGCTGATGATGATGGTGATGCTGATGCTGCTGGTGATGATGCTGATGACGATGATGATGATGATGATGCTGCTGCTGATGATGATGATGATGATGATGATGATGATGATGATGATGATGGTGCGGCTGCTGCTGCTGATGATAATGGTGGTAATGATGATAGTGATGATGCTGCTGCTGATGATGATCATGCGACGAGGGGGAGGAGCAGGAGGAGCAGGAAGGACGTTACATGTGTCATCCTCCGCCTTCACTATCTGAGGAGTTATCATGGAGCTTGTTTGGGCCGTCTTGGCGCTGTCTTGTTGGCCTCTGAGGCAGTCTTGGGGGCCCCTCCTGGGCCGCTCTGGTGCCCTCCACGCCGTCTTGGGGCTCTCTTGACCCGTCGTGGGGCCTCCTTGCCCGTATGGTGCACAGGCCTCCGTCGAGATCACCCTGCATCCAGCGGCTACTGCTGGAGTCAGTGCGTGCCCGACGTTTCGTCGGCGAGGCTGGCGGTTGCATCGGCAAGGCTGATGTAGCAGGGTTGCCACCCGCACCATTTTGTGCCCAGCACCAGGCCTGGCACAAGCCCAGCGCGCTCCGCATGCACCAGTCAGCCCAGCCAGGGAAGGCTTATCATTTGCCAGTCTATGATTTTCCCGCGGCGTACCATTCAATGTCAGGCGGCGTCTAGATTATACATTGCATGTCTTTTCGAAGTCTTTACGTGTCCAAAGACGCGATTTTCTCCGAATCGTCAGTTGGTGTTGGTTTGAATATTTGAGTCCAGTTCACAGGTAACAGATTTAACTTGTACCATCGGTTACCGTTTTACCAGGCGTTGGCACAGGACCGAGGCCCCGAAGTAGCTGTTGCGGCCAGCATCGGATATGATATTCTGTTGCGACCCGCGGCGGCTGAGAGGTCGAGGGCGTCGGCCTATATGCGGTGGTGTTCACGTAAAGTTCGCCCGAGTGGCGATCCAGCAAGTATGCTGCCCGCGGTCCGCTTTCGATGGCATAACAAAACGAACAGAAGTAGCGCAGGTTGCGCAGCCGAAGTGGCCGTGATTTCTCGGAGCGCAAGGTCTGCATTGCTCGCCTCCCTCAGCGGTTTCTGTATGAGCGTCTGCGCATAATTTGGTCTGAGTGCGAGTGGGGCTATGTATACTTGACTACGGACGAGCATGGTAAATCTGAGCGAATTTAAGAATGCGTGCTCACGGGTGGGTCGGAGTACGAGTCCGTCCAGGCATGGGCCAGTCTGAGCACAAGGTAGCTTGGTTATGAACGGGTCTTGGTATGCGTCCATGTGAGTAGCATGAATGCATTTGACGTGTTTAGGTATGATGTCGTCTGGGGGTTGGCGTCTGGTTTGTATTGTCGTACAGTTATGATTGATACCACCATGAGTTCGTTCTTGCCAGAGTGTGGTACTGCCAAAATGTCGTACCGTTGAGTTGTGATGTCAATTGGTCGTAGCTTGACCCATTAGGATGCGTAGAAATGCAAGCACGTCCTGGCCTTTCGTATACGTGTTTGTAACGCTTGCCCACTCTCCCAAACTCTAGCTTGTGATTGTAAGATCATGCACATTATTGAGCACACCTGCACGATTATGCACGCTCGCGTTCACATATGATTATCACTGCACGCTCCGTGGCACTGGTATCCTCCATTCCCTGGGTTATGTTCTGTTCACATATGTACACACCTTGTTATCCGCCGTTGCTTCTGCCCACTCACCCATGCAATTGCTGCTTCTCTATTTGCTTGTTCGTTTTCCTTACCATTCGCATATGCTCCTGAGGTTGGTGGTGTTCCTCCGTCTCCTCCTTGCCGTCCGTCTCTCCCTCTATCCATGTTCTCCCCTCGTTTGTATGCCTCTCTCTACTCTTGCCTCACCACTCGTTTCTCTGTCCCTCACCCCTAGCTTCTTCCTTCTCTGTTCTCCTCCCCCTTTCCCACTGCTTGTTCACTTCTCTTCCTCGTACCTCCTCCGTCCCTCTTCCACTCCCCCATCCTGCGTGTTCATCCCTCTTCCCATCTCGTCTATCCTTTCTTGCCAAGTTCTCTCCTTCTTCCTCTTCCTTCCTCACTGCGTACTCCTCCTCATCCAACCTCCTCTGACACCATTCCGCCCTCTCTGCTAATCCCTCCCTCATCAGCCCTCCGCCATGATTCCCTCCTCCCTGCTCACTTCTCCCTCCTCAGCCATCCTCCCTTCTCCCTGTTCCCACCTCTACCATCCGTCCCCCCGTCTTCTTCCATCATTCAACGGTACCTTTCCTGACTCCTCCTGGCTCCTTGCGCCTTCCTCCCTCCACCCTTCTCTGCCCTCCCGCGTTCCTCCAGTACAGTCGGGGTCCTGAAGAAGGAACCCTTTTCGTTGGGGAGGGGCTCCGCGCTCCTTAAGCGTTTCGCAGCTTGCCTCAGGTGTTCCTTGTGTTTTCGATCGGAATCGAAGTTTGACTTATGGAAAAAAGGGGCCTCGTTCCTTATTTTGGGTTCCTCGGGTCGAGGCCCCGACTGTACCCGCAGTCTCTGCACAGTTCCCTCGCTCCCTTCCCTCGCTCCCTCCTCCCCCTCCTTCCTTAGGTCAAGGCCCTCCCTCCTCGCTCCCTCCTCCTCCCTTCCCTCCTCCTCCCTCCCTCCTCGCTCCCTTCCTCCTCGCTCCCTCCCTCCTCGCTCCCTCCCTCCTCCCTTCTCCCTCCCCCCCTCCCTCCTCCCTCCCTCCCTTCGCTCTCTCCGCCGGACCCCTGGCGGGGGCCCGTGGGAGGCAGGGCTGGTTCGAGCCGAGCTCCCTGCCAGCCTTGGGCGCTCCACTCTCGGAGGCCACCCTCGGAGGAGGAGGAGGAGGAGGGGGAGGAGGAGGGGGAGGAGGGGGAGGAGGAGGAGGAGGAGGAGGAGGAGGAGGAGGAGGAGGGGGAGGAGGAGGCAGTCCGTCCACCAACCCTTCTCGTCTCTGCTTCCTCCTCCCAGCTCCCTTCTCCTTCCGTCCTTCGTCCCGCCTTGTCCAATCCCGCCTTCCTGCCTTCTCCTTCTGCGCCTCCTGCTCCTCATCCTCCTGCTCCTAATCCTGCTCCTCTCCTCTTTCTGCCCCCTGTCATAACGGTTTGATCTCGCAGGCCGCAATGGGGGCCGTCGCCACCAGGGCCTTCGCCGATGTCTTCTCTGGAGGCTCGTCACCCGACGGGCCGCTCCTCTTGGGTGTGGAAGCGGGGGAGGGGACGACGAGGACCAGTCGATGCATGCCATGTTGCGGATGTTCTTCCCCTGTGTCCCCATGTTCGCCATCGAACGGATGTGCGTCGCCCAACATGAAGTCAAGCAGGTCTGTGGTGTTAGTCGCATTATTTTGTTTGAGGCCGCCGTTTACTGTTTTTGGCTGAGCTGTGCGTTTCAAAACCGTACGGCCGCGATACGCATCTGAATTGCCATCCCGTCTTCGCCCGCGGGAGACCCTGTGATGCATACATACCCGTTGGACGCCCAGCGTGCTGCAGTACGAATGTTGCGGCAGAGCTTGGTTCAATGGTCTAAACAAGTTGTGTCTGGCCTCGCTTTCCGATCATTGTGATTTTCCAATCTACTTTAACTTTGACCACCAGCAAGAACTTCGAGCACAAAGAGAGAATTACCGACACTGGAGGATCTTCGCGTGTCGGGCCCTGGGAGGCGATGCTCGTTCGACACTGTTTTGATGCTCGCCTGGGTGCCCGGAGCCATTCCCTGGAACGCGGCCCTCAGAGCACGACGGGAGCAACACGAGCCGAGCAGCGCTCCTGCCGAAGCGCCTCTCCCTTGGCGCCGAGTCCTCGGCACGGTGCCGCGGGGCGCGGAGGAGGAGGAGGAGGAGGAGGAGGAGGAGGAGGAGGAGGAGGAGGAGGAGGAGGAGCACTTGGCCGCCAAGTCCTCGGCACGGTCGGCGGCCGGCGGGCGCGCCCGTTTGGGGGGAGAGCGCCCCGCGGGCGCCCCTCGGCCGCCGGGCGCGGGGGGGGCGCCCGTGGGCGCCTCCTTCGTGCCGGAGGAGGGGAAGATGGTGCCCAGGCCTCTGCCCTGCCCAGGAGGCCACAGGCGGACCCTACCCCTACCCCCCACGATTTCTGAGGGGAGGAGGAGGAGGAGGAGGAGGAGGAGGAGGAGGAGGAGGGAGGAGGAGGAGGAGGAGGAGGAGGAGGAGGAGGAGGAGGAGAGGAGGAGGAGGAGGAGGAGGAGGAGGAGGAGGGAGGAGGAGGAGGAGGAGGAGAGAGGAGGAGGGAGGAGGAGGAGGAGGAGAGGAGGAGGAGGAGGAGGAGGAGGAGGAGGAGGAGGAGGAGGAGGAGGAGGAGGGGGGGGTGCCCACGCCGCTGCCCTGCCCATAGGAGGCCACGTGCGGACCCCGCTTCATCCAGCTCCATCCTGCTGGGACCGATGCCCTTTCTGGCGCACACAGCTCCCACATGGGGCTTTAGTCCTCCCTGACCTTTCCGACGAAAAGCTCCCAGCAGCTGCTTCCTGACAAGTTGGACTTCCCTGTTTCTCGTACGGAGCCTGAGTAGGGGGCCACATGCGAACCCTACCCCTACCCCCCACGATTTCTGAGGGGGAGGGTGGGGGTAGGGTTCGAATGTGGCCCCCTACTGCCCCCGTTCTCCCCTCGTCGGGCCTCCCGGGCGGTCCTCGTCGCCACCGTTGGGTTCGCCTCGAGATCCTGGTCAGAACGCACCCCGGGGGAGGTCTGGGGAGTGGCGGTATCGGTACCTCTTGGTCTCCCCATCACGGCTTCCTCGAGCGCTGGTTGCGCTTGCACCACACGGGCTGGTAAAAAAAGCGCATCCCACAGTGTTCTTCGGATCCCGTGCCAAACGCTACAGGTGAAAATAAGAGCCAATGTCACCGCGCCGAGAAAGATTGGTGACATAAAACACTAGCGTAAACACGCGTCAGAGGGCAGATTCTGTGTTAGATCGCAGCAGGGTCAAACACCAAAGCAACATAACGTTTCGGATGAGAAATCGCCAATACAAACGCACAGTGCCGTCCCCGTCTACCTGGCTCGGAGGGACGACCATCCTTTCGAAGAACCGGTCGAAGTGATACCTTGCCTTTGGAGACACATTTCGAAGGTCGCATGGCCGCGTCCCCGCCTGTTGTCTGCCGGTGGGACGTCGCATCCTGCTTCCCGTGAGTTCCTGCCTGCCAGCGGTGGGTTCAAAGGATTCTTTCGACGATGAGGTGGGGTTTCTGTTTGCACATAGTCAGGGGCAATTGAAAAAAAAGGTGGTAGTTTGTTTTGTGGAGCTGACTTGAATGCCGTGATGGGGACGGTGGAAGCCCCTCCAGGCATGGCTGTTCTCGGCGAGTACGCGATTGGGATGCGAAAGTTTCACGGGTGTGTTAGGCATGCGTCATCTGATCGAGGGTCGTTTCCCGGCTACCCCCACGTTCCCCCCAGCGGTGGAAGTGCCGATTTGTCCAGGTTTCGGAGTTGTAGAAGAAATTCGTTGTATTCATGCGTCAATGTAATCGATTGTAGTGGTGTATATTTTTTGTTATTGTCCCAGGCCATCGGCTATCGACTAGTGCGTGTTATCGTGAATGGAGCGTAGACGCAGGTACACACAGTAAACCGATCGGATGCCAGGTTCGATGTCCCAAGGCTTTTGTTGGTTCCGTCGTGCAGGGAATACGCTCCCACCAATCGTACCAGTGTTTTTGTTCCACATGCCAGACGTGAGGCCGCCGCCACTTCCGACAACCCCGTTTGGAGCCGCGCTCGTGGACGGCGGAAGCGCCAGAGGCTGCACCAGCTTGAGCGTCTGCGGTCGCAGGCGGGCTCTCCTCAAGAGAAAAAAAACGTTTGCACGGCAGTGTTGGGAGGAACGGAGGCGATTGCACTCGGAAGATGTGGACAAGCACGCTTTTCAATCTCAGCGGCTTTGCACAAAGGGCGGATGGTGGAAGGTGCATCGGGAAGTCGTCCTCAACCGCGTATGATGGCCGGGCGGACGAACGCTGACGACAAGCATGAGCTTGAAGGAGGAGTGGGCAAGTATTACAGTCGGGGCCCTGAAGAAGGAACCCTTTTGGTTGGGGAGGGGCTCCGCGTTCCTTAGTGTTTCACAGCTTGCCTCAGGTTTTCCTTATGTTTTCGATCGGAAATCGAGGTTTAACTTATGGAAAAAAGGGGCCTCGTTCCTTATTTAGGGTTCCTTAGGTCA